AACCAGGGCAGTCATAATTAAGTTATGTCTTTGTCTTCACATGTTAAGGTGCAGGTTATTAAGATGCTGCTGACATGGCCGAGTGAGTGTTTAATGCCTAGCACGTCCTGCCATGTTTCTTTCGTGTTCTATTCAAATGCAGTGGGCGAAGCAGCCCTCCTTTGTGATGCCAGATTTTTGAGGAAAGGTGTAATGAGCACTTGGAAGTGTTCCCTTCCTTGATGAAAAAGAGTGTCTCAACAGATACCCGCTGAAAAGCTATCAGCTCCAGCAAGACTTTCCGATCTTTGATAAGAGTGGAAAGAGCTTGTTTTTTTCCAGCAGCGGGAGCATTACCCTCCCTTCCCAGAGCAAGATTTTTGTGTGGAATGCTTTTTGGGGGGCGGTGCGGAGGGAGGGTGGCGAGTTTCCTGAAAATATGTATTGTCGGAAAAGTGCCTCATTTTTTCAAACAAAATGCAGGGTTTTTTAAGGTTCTTGAGGGTTTTTTTTTTTTTTTTGCAAAAAAGTCCTTATTTCTTTTTTTAAAAAAACACAAAAACATTTGACTCAGTGAGGGAAAATTGTATGGTTCCATTTTCCTTTCTCACAATGAAAGATTTGCTTCCCTGTGGGGAAGAGCTAAGCTTTTACGTGCTGACAAATACTCAAGAGAAGTGTTAAGTTCAGTCTGTGAACTTCTGATACCTCCATGTGGACTTTTGCTCATGCTGTCCTGTCAGAGTCTGAGAGTCACACCAGATTCCTTGGTTTTGTGAACTGCAATGAGTAACTGTGATGAGCAGAGCCTTCACTCATGTGGATCTGGCCTTGTGAGATGAGACCATTCACACCATGACATTTTGTTCTTCCTGGCACTTGGTTGAAACACAACTACTGTATTCCAAAAGACATATTATCCTGATTTTTTTTCTTTAATATGTGCTCTTTTTGGCTCTTTTATGACATGCTATTCATAATTGTGTTATTTTGTCATATTTCAGTTCTATTGTACATATTTTTGTTGTTTTGTATTATTATGAAGTCCGCTTGGCAAAAAAAGAAAAAGCTAGAGATTGGAGGATTCAATTTGTAAATAAATGAAAGGGCAAAACCTGTACGTAAAAAGGAAATTGCACGGAAAGACAAAGAAAAAGGAAGTTTTTCTTTCCTGAGCTGCAGATAGTACGGCCCATCGTATCCTAATTCGTGCAATGAAGAGAACTTGATGGACCGTTGGGGAAAGAGGTAACAACTCATACTCAGTTGCAGTTCTGTGCTCCTATGAGGCATCAAAATTCTGCGCAAAGAAATGAGAGGTGCATTTGCCTCTTTGACCCCCAAAGCCTTGTCTAGCAGTTGCCTTAAGCCAGTGGTCAGGGAACAGTGGTAAATTACCCCAAATGGGGTAAAAATGAAAATCCTGGAGGGAATGAAGACAGTTGCGGCAGCGCGACCGTCCTCATTACCCCCAGGCATTTTGTTTCCGATGATACTGTGTGTAGGTGGGCATTCCATCACGGGGAGAACGAGCCCCTGCGAGGAACTGCACAGGGCACTCGCCTGCCCTTCTCACCTCCAAAGTGGTGGTGGTGGTGGTGGACTGGGCCAGCTGGACTCTTTGGTTGGCGGAGCCCTGGCCGGGGCTCTCCTTCCTGCCTGTGTCTGTCTGCCCAGTCCCCTTCCCACCGCGCCTCACCTGAGCTCATGGCCAGTGGACCTGCTGGCCCTGCGGTGCCCGCCTCCCCTCGCCAAGGACGGCGTTTCCCAGCGACGTGGCGGCTCTAGACTGGCTGCTCGGGCGGTGGTCGCAGGTCCTGGGTGAGCGCAGAAGTGGGGAGGGTGGGTCGGCCACGGACAGTGAGAGCAGAGGGGCGGTGCTGGGAGGAGGCAGGGTAATGTTGGCATATATAAATTTTTTTGGGGGTAAAAGATAAAAAAAAGTTCCCGACCCCTGCCTTAGACCACGATCCTTGCCTCCCTGCAATAGCTTGAGAGACATTTCAGCATGCAGGGTCCTCAGCATCCTTTCTGTGACCTCTGAGAATGGCTAGTGGTGATGGGGAGGTGAACATCTTTCCTGTTTTCCGGAGGGGTCTGCTGAGATTTCTCTGTCCCTGCTGCTCCTAGGGGCAAGAACACTGGGGCTTCACAAGCTACGTGGGGGGTGTCCCTCTCTACCACCATTAACAGCAGGGTTCTCTCTCTATACCTTCAGCGACTGCGGAGGGAGTAGCCACGGCTTACAGGTTGTGCACCCCGATATAAACCAACAGAATTGTTTGCTGCACGCAGCCACTCCTGTAAACCCAAGAAGTGAAGTTATTTTAGGCACAGCCATTGGTGCGCCCACATCATTCAGTGCCAGAGTGTTCGTATTTGGTCTTCAGTGGGGGGTACCTCTCAATTCAAATCCCACTTCACCCCGTGTTACCTTTTTGCAGTCAGGGACCTCACACCGATTTGTAATTTCCTCAATATAGATGGTATTGTGTTACTAAAAGTTTCAGGAGCTAGGAAGAATAGAAAACACTTCAAAATCCTCTGGCTTTGGCAGCCTTTTTTTTTTAGTAGAATGGCTGGGGATGATAGACTAGATTATCTGATTCCTCCCTGCGAAGTTCATTTCTATCAATAATATTGATCAGTACATGGTGATTCGGTGTAACGGGAACATGCCTTTTTCTTAATTTCAGTCTCTATTTGGTAGTTCACAACTTTTTTGTATTGGAGGCAGGGGTGAGGCCCCTTCTTTTTCCTGAAAAAAGCTGGAAATGAACGCATATTTTTCTTAATGATGCATTCCTTGAATGCTTCACTCAAGTTTCTGCCATATCTCTTTGAATTAAAAAAAGATAAAATATTTGCAAATGTTGCAAGCTTAGTTTTGGAGAGTTGTCATCTTTAATCGCATTCTGGGATATGTTTATACATGCATTCTGCTCATTGTTTACCAAAACCCCTGGAAGGCTTTAGGAAAAGAATAATTTTGTAGAAAATCTGATGCAGCTCAGTATGCTTCTCGCAAGTTGTATTTGTGTGCAAAGGCCAAATTGGTTATTAAAATTCTGTGATGGCACATTATTATTACTTTTATTATTGTGATTCAAAAATATCAGGCACAGTCAATAAAAATTATAAAAACTTTATTATGTAACAGATATAAGTTTTAATCACAAACCTAAGTATCTGTTAAATATCAATGTAGGATATAAGCTGTTCCTAATATTGCTGTTTTTTGCTGTTGACATTATTTCTGAAATCTGCAACTGCTTATAATACTCTGTGAAATTTCTTGATATTGTTCCCTAAGCCCTGACGATGACGCTGTAAACGTACATCTCAAATGTTGTTATTCCAGTATAGCATCACTATATGCTTGAGAGATAGGTCTTCCCTGCACTCCTCTATATTTATTTTTATTTTTTAAAGTCCTGTTCAGGAATTTCCACCTGAAGCCTTGTCGGTCTTTTAGACATGGCGGGGATGTATGGAGGCGAATAAATCCCAACCCAATGTCCTCTCTATCCAAAAATCACTCAGATCTTGACACATTCAGCAGAAAGGTGCCTCGTAACTGTGTTCACGTGAATGCACTGTGTTCAGTAGTGGGTTGTCCTGATAAGGCAGGTTTCTTGACTACTGGAAGCATGTTACAAGAGGTTCTTGAGACCTTCATGCTGAACATGTGATAGTCTAGATAGATCATGTCCACATGGGAGGAACCTATTGGCATAAATCTGTCCCAGTCACACTTTTAGGTCCTACACAGTTTCAGGTTGTAGAAGTTGAACACAGCTCTTTTCATTTATCAATTCTCACTTGGTTTTAACTAAATATTCATTAACAAATGGAACTAGAAAGCTGAGAGGTCCAATGGTGTGGTCTGGTCTTTCATGCATTCTGTCATTCATATTGCAAATTTAATGGCTCATGCTTCCAAACAGAGTAATCTTAGAACAAGCTGGAATTTTTAGCATGTATACATTACTGAAACAGCAACATCTATGTTGGCTTGGGCATGTCGTGAGAATGGCTGATGGTCAGATTCCTAAAGATCTCCTGTATGCAGAATGAGTGCAGGGAAATCGCCCTAGAGGGAGACCACAACTGCGATACAAGGAGATCTGCAAGCAGGATCTGAAGGCCTTAGGAATGGATCTCAACCGATGGGAAACCTTGACCTATTGAGTGTTCTGCCTGGAAGCAGGTAGTGCAACATGGCCTCTCCCAATTTGAAGCTCTTGTCCCATAGGCCAAGGCAGAGAGGCAGTCATGAAAGCAGCGAAATCAGGAAGCTGGACAGGGGGCAGATTGTGTTTGTCTTCAGTGTGGAAGGGATGGTCGCTCTTGAATTGGCCTCTTCAGCCACGCTAGACACTGTTCCAAGACCCCCATTCAGAGAACGATAACATAGTCTCTCAAGACTGAAGGATGCCTAATCTTGCTTTAAATATTCTGCTTCAGCAGTTGTTCTTGTATTATTATTTTTTCTTGTCCCTCTAAAACTGGGAGCCAAGAAGATGGTATTGTGCTGTTTTTACTGTTCATGTAAGCTTTGGTCCACATGGTCTACCTTTACAAAATCCAGTAGCCATCCCAGTGCCAAAGTGGAGTGGGTGAATATATTTAAGATTGGGGTTGGTTGTAGCTGATTTGGCTGAGGAACAGGAATCTCTTCTATCTTTTGAGGTGTACATAACTGACTGCTAAATTGAGCAAAGGGAATTAATATCAAGTAGCATGAACTTGAAACCCACTCAGATTGTCTCTTGTGTATATGCTGGAGTGAGGGAGCAGGAGCATCTTTCCTAGGAGATTATACTTCATTTGTGTGTATTGCAAATAAATCCTACATGTTACTCACGGTCCTCGACACATGTACCATTTGCTCCGTCCCACCCCCAAAAAATCAAGTGATGGGAGGAAGGCCCCATTTCTGAAACATTGTGGTCTTGTCCAGTTGGACCTCATTCAATCAACGTTTGAAGAGTTTTTGTGTTTGTTTCCTTTTTTAAAAGGAGGACCTGATGACAACTTGATAGAAGGCGGCGGGACCAAGTTTGTCTGCAAGCCAGGAGCCCGAAATATCACAGTCATCTTTCACCCACTTCGGAGGTAACATCCTTTATGCTGTACTTGTGCGTGAGGGTGTGTCATTACAGAGGTCTTACCCCATTTTGCCTGTTAATAAGACTTCAGGCTGCTTAAGCAAGTGTTGAGTATTGTTTATGGACTATCTGAAGAGTCGTTGTTCCCTTGGAACAAGGGACGTCAACTGGTGACCCTCCAGATTTTGTTGGCCTGCAATTCCAGTCATCCCTCATCACTGCCTGTGCTGGTGGGGGCTGGTGAACATTTTCACCCCACGATATTTGGAGGGCAAAAAAGAAAGAAACAGAGAAAATCAGATTTCTAGCAATGGTGGCTAAGAAAATTGCTTGGACGTATTATGGCAATGCCTATTAAAGTATTAGAAACTATGGAGGGGAGCATTTCTGTTAATCTGTGGACATCAGTGTCCTATAATTTCTTTTTCCTCAGCATGGGTAACAGATGTACCTGTAGTCTAGATTACAGTATGTGTATTATGCAGATAATTCTAACAACTTGGTTATAACTCCTCAAAAACATAGATAGAATGGCCTGTATTCATGGGGGAAAGGCACTGTTTGGACACAATTGTTTTATAATATTTTATCTGTTTAGAAGACACAGTGGGTGGGCAATGAAACGGAATTCATTGAAGCAGCTCCACGTGCCCAACGGTGATGATGTCAGCATCAGCAGCAAAACAACCCTGATGAAAATCACATTGCTGCTGATTCAAGGTAGTTTCAGAGTGCGCATATAACTCATACACAATGCCACTAGGTGATTTGCCTTGCTGCTGACTGCATCACCTTTACACACGCACAGCTGTGCAACAGATTTCAGCCACTATTGTGTTTCATGTATGTTTCTGGGAAAGAGAAAGGTAGATATGTGTGAAGTTATAGCTTTGTGTATTAGTATCTTAATATAATATTTTAATGCTACTGTCATATAAAACTCCGTAGTTTTCCTGGCTATCTTGATACAAATGCACTGTTCTTCAAAACTTACAAGCTTTTTTGCTGGGTTTATTTGTCCGTTTGACTCCCTCCGGTGCAAACTATGTAATTTTTTTATTGACTAGGAGTGGGGAAAAGTTTAGTTGTGTCTCATAGGAAATTGTTTGTCATTCACTTTGACTTACGATTCGTAAGCAGCAAGCAGCGCTTCAGCAAGGTAAGCTGATTTCTTGATAAACAGGTTCCAGCTTTACAAGACTGCCAATGAAGCTCCTCTGACTTTGGAAACAGGCTGTCAATTATTAAAATGCATTAGAAATTCTCAGCTGGTGGAAGCTCATCAGGGGCACTAGGACATGAAAATACCGGAGCTGAGTCAGGTGGAAATGGGAAGTTTAATAGAGCACTCTTTGAGTTTAATCTTCCCACTTCTCCCTTCCAGTCATACGATTAATTTTCTTTTGTCGTCAATGTCTAAGTAGCAGAAGGTTGGTTTTCCTGCTAATGGGGCTGTCTTCTGATATCCACATGCTTTCTCCAGTTTTGCTCTGTATCTCTCAGTTCTATTGTTTCTGACATTACCCATTGTTCTGCTTTGAGTTAAAATCTGTTTGATGTGCCAGTGCTTGACAGAGTAGATTTGTCTTAAACCTGTACTGCAAACCTAGCCTCACTTTTACTTTGGGGTTCAAATACTGGACCAGAAAGAGGCTTGTGTTCAGCCCTAAATAATCCACACATGCATTCTGTCAAACACAGTCCCGTGTCTGGTTTTGCTGCCGTAAGTACTGTACTGTACATGGTTGCAAACAATAGTGGTGGGTTGCAACTAGATAATACATCACTGCACATGCCCTTCCATTAGTCTATGATTCTATAACTGAGTAAGCCAGAATTTAGGGCCTCCTCTTATGTAGGACTCTAATATTTTCTCTGTTTTTGCATTTAGTCTCTCTCAAAACCAAACCAAACCAAGAAACAAAAGTGCCAGAACAGCCTATTATAAGCATGAATTTCAGGTGGGGTAATGGATGTATCTTAGGGTCCGAGCATCTCTTAACTGAGTGCTCTGCTTGCTATGTGCTTCCTGCCTGGATGTGCTGTTTCAGCCTGTGTCTTTATTTGGGGGGGGGAGTTAGCATCCAAGGCAGGAGACCTTAGTTCATGTGAACCATTTATTTTATTCATTTTATTATTTTGTATAGGATCTGTTGGTGCATGTATGAGATGGTACTGGGACACCTCCGCTGGTTCTTCTCCTCCTCTCTTCCCTTGATTCCTTTAAAGCAAAAGCAGTGTTGATTTGCACACACATACACACACACCCGGACCTTTCTCTCTCTCTCTCTTCTCCCCACCCCACTCCCGCCTCTCTTTTAAAGAAGAAAAAGAGCTTGGCAAGCAATTTGTTTAGATCCCTGATATTTGTGAAGCATTTGTAGTTGATGACTTTAATGTCAATAAACTCTCCCCGCCTTGGAGCGCATGTCATAAAATCATCAGCCACTGTGCAGTGACAGGAAAGATGGCTGTTAAGGAAATGTTTCCTTCAAAGTGACCGCTTTGCCTCGGTGTGTAGTTCTGCCTGTTTCTCTTTAGCATTTCTGTCAGCTTGTCATGGACAATCAGATGTTACCTTCATGGCTGACATCCAACAAGCGTGTAAAGCATGATGAAAACTTCCTCTCTTTTTCTCTTTCTTTCTCCTCCTCTTTCTCCCCCCCCCAAAACACACACCCCTGCCTCTGTCAGATGCAGATGATACATTGGACACACTTTGGTTTCACTACCAGCTTGATGGGTCAGCAGTGGAAATCATGCATGTCGTTTGAAGGGTGAGGGCAGGATATATGACAGAAAGCTCTCTTTGCATTGTGCAGTGTGCATGGTCATGCTGTGGGAGGGGGTCTTTGGGAAGGGGGCATATGCTATATCTTAAACTACTCCCCCTCTCCCAGTTCTTTGTGTGTGTGTGCCAGAGAGAGAGAGAGAGAGAGAGAGAGAGAGAGAGAGAAGCAACATTTTAGTAACTCCTGGAGAAAGGAAAATACAGTGGTGCCTCACATTACGAGCGCTCCATTTGACGACGAATTTGCTTTACGTCGAAGTTTTTGCGATCGCAAAAGCGATCGCAAAACGATGTTCCCTATGGGGGAATTTCACTTTGTGGTGATCGGTCCCCTGTTTCAGTAACCGATCATCGCAAAGCGATGATTTTTGCACAGCTGATCTGCGGTTTCAAAATGGCCACCAGGTTAAAAAAAAAAAGGCCCCCCACTGTTTTCTGGCACGGATTCCTCACTGCATGGGCAGCGAAAATGGCCATGCTATGGAGGATCTTCGCTGGACAGTTTGAAGCCCCTAGGAACACATTAATTGGGTTTTAATGCATTTCTATGGGCTTTTTAAAATCGCATGATGACGTTTTCGTTTTACAGCGATTTTCACGGAACGAATTAACATCGTTATGCGAGGCACCACTGTAGTTTCATGTATTCTTGAAGGCTTTCATGGCCAGGATGTGTTCACAGACAAGGTTCTGACTCCTGTCCTCTAGAGATGCCGGCCACAGAGACTTGCAAAACGTTAGGAAGAACAACCTTCAGAACATGGCCAAAGAACATGAAAAACCCACAACAACCATTAGATACCGGCCGTGAAAGCCTTTGTGAATAGCCTGAAAAACCTACAATGACCATCGAAAATAGGAGTTTCATTATGTCAAACTTCTTCCTACTCAGGCTTGCCTGGTTGAAGAGACAGAAGGACTCAGGAGAAGTAGACAGGCTCAAATTACAAACATATATTTAGGGAGACATTGGCAGCAATATTTATCAAGACGGTAGAAAAGCTTGCAAGAAGTGGGAGGTATGTATGTGACTGACACAGCTGTAATACTTTGTAATACAATGACAAAGCTGCACATTTGGAATGTATGTATAAAAGGTAGGATTTCATGTTGAGGGCAGTTCTTTTCAAAGGGATGTTGTGAACACAGGCTCTATTGGTGGCTCTTTTCAGCTAAAACTAACAAGAAGCTCACTCTATAATATATCCTTCCTTCTGATGTGAGAATCATGTTTTCTTTATGCACAGAGGGCTCTATGAGGTACTGCGATCTTCAGAAGTTAGTATGTGTATGAACATTCCATGATATCACAGCAGTTGGGCAAATGATTAGGGGACAGTCCAGAGGTATGATTTTGGCATGCATGGTTTTTCATAACATGTATGGCCTGCAACTGTGATCCATTAAGTGGTTATTGGCTTTCTACTACACACTATCCTCAGTACAGTTGTACCTTGACTTACAAATGCCCCTACTTGTGAACGATTTGAGCTACAAATGGCTCCGTTTCCAAAAAGTTGCTTTGACCTGCGAATGGAGCCTCGACTTACGGACCAAAAAGAAAAAAGAAAAAAAAATTCCTGCCCTTTTTTTGACCTAAGTTCACCTTGTGACAAGAGAAGAAAAAATAAATAAAATTCATCCCCTAGTGGTAGAGTATGGATTAACCGGCTTTGCATTACAGTGGTGCCTCGCTAGACAGTTACCCCGCATGACAGTTTTTCACTAGACATTGGCTTTTTGCGATCGCTATAGCGATTCACAAAACAGTGAGTCCTATGGGGGAATTTCAATGGACAATGTTTGGTCGCTGCTTCACAAACCGATTTTCGCTAGACGACGATTTTGACAGCTCCCTCCATGCTCACAAACAGGTGTTTTCGGGACTTAAGCTTTGCAAGACAGCGATTTAAACAGCTGATTGGCGGTTCGCAAAACGGCTTTCCTATGGCTGATCTTCGCTAGACAACGACGATTCTTCCCCATTGGAACACATTAAACAGGTTTCAATGCATTCCAATAGGGAAATGCTTTTCGCTAGACAATTATTTCGCTAAACAGCTATTTCAGTGGAACGGATTATCATCGTCTAGCGAGTCACCACTGTAGTTTCTATGTTAACTATGGGAACTAATGCCTCTACCTACGAACGGAAAACAGCAGATACGGATTAAATGGTTTTCAGTGCATTCCAATGGAAAAGTTTGCCTCGACTT